AATCACAGCTTATCTTGTGCCTGTTCCAGAGCATGCACAATTATTGTGTTGAGCATTTCTGACACAAAATTGGCACACGTTCTGTCTTGACTCCCAAGAATGGCCGACTGTAAAACAAGGAGCTGACATTTTTATCTTCTTTATAAACTGAAGTCTATGTTGTGCAAATGGTCTATGAATTGTTGCATGCAATGGGTGCATATGGATGCTTGCACTATGGATTGCCATTTTCTTTTACTGATAATGCATTTTTGACGTCTCAGGTGGATTTGGGAACAGATGGCAGGCACTGCTTCTGCAAAGAGAGTGAATTACTGGCCGTAGTTGAATAAAGTTTCAGCTACAGGTTTACAGGAGGTCTTCCATCTGGATTTTTAAAAACCTTCTGCGAGAAAAGGTCTTGATCGTTGGATCAAATCCACAGTTGGGATTAGCTTAAAAAGTTATAGTAAAACTTAAACCAAAAACTGAAGCAGATTTGTTTGCTGTTTAGTTGGTTCAATCTGATATAGAAAGCATCCGAAATGGAATTGGGAATCCGATTAGAGGTTTTAAAGATGTTTAACTCATTTTCTGGTTGAATTTGTTTTAATCTGTACCATACGTACAATTTCTCCACAGCATTTTGAATGGATCAAACATCATATGAATCCGTCCAAAAGAAAAACAAATAGAAACACAGCTAATATAACAAAGCATTCTTTAGCGATCCCAATATCGGGGTATCAAAATGTATAAAAAATAGGCCACTACAAAAGAGCTTATAAAAAATCTTTAAATGAAAATGAACAAGAAATGGTGAAAAAGGTACGAGGAATATCGCTTGTCTTAAAAAAATAAAGATACGAGGAATATTGCTCTCAACTCCACACAATTGATCTTGGTTACAATTCGCTGGTAGGGAGAATTCCTGATGAGCTTGGCACCTTGTCAAAGCTATTAAAAATAGCAGTTGACAACAACAACCTGACCAGGAATGTTCCTTACTCTTTCAGCAACTTATCATCTCTTGGCTTTCAGCAACTTTTAATAATTTGAATGGAAGCATTCCAGATATCTTTGGCCAAAAGACCAATATTAGCTATCTTGCTTTGGATGGAAATAGCTTGTCAAGTATGATCCATCCCTCCATCTTCCTTTTCCCTTCGCGGGATAGTATTGTTATGGTTCGATGGCGATTTATTTTGCATGTGTAAAATGTAGTCTGTAATGGATGTGTGTTTATTGTATGTAGATTCACTTAATATTGCTGTTCTATTGTATGTCTATTGTCTTAATATTGCCTTTGTATTGTATAGATAGTGTATGCATATTGCCACCCTATTGGATGTATATTGTAATACTATTGCTATCGTATTGTGGTTATATTGCTCTAATATTGCCTCTATAGTGTACGTATATTGGCCTAATATTTCTATTATATCGTATGTCAATGGCCATTTGGTCTAATAACAGAGCCTCCACTTCGTTGAAAGTAATCCTGAATTCAAATGTCACGGACACGACAATTGTTATCCATCCTTATATATTAGCATGAATTGATGTTGACCTTTCAAATGATAGTTGGAGTTGCACATCGATTCATATTCAAAAGAAAAGTAATTCTCTCCCTCAATGAATCTTCGTTCAAAAGAAGGCAGCTATCAAATATTGGGTACAAAAATGCAAGATCCACGGTAAATTAATTGGGCACAAACCACATATTACAAAACCAGGATGATTTTTGGCATGCTTGAAAAGAGAAGGGCCAAATACAACA